GCCTCGAACGCTCCCTGCTGCGCCGCACCCGCCTCCGCCGCGCGCCCCTCGTAAGGCCTGCGCCACGCTGTGCGCGCCTCCACCTGCGCCTCCCCCAAGCGCCCCTGCAGCCCGGCGCCAGCACCGGCAGCGTCGTGAAGGTTGCTGCTGCTGCGGCTGTCGCGCGCCGCGAGGTTGCTGCCGCTGCCCCCGAGCCCCACCAGGTTGGCTGCGCTGAGGGACCGGAACGAGCGCGACACGCGGACGCCCACCGCGTGCAGCAGCTGCTCGTTCGAGGGCGCGTGGGTGATGGCGCCCTCGCGGATGCCTGTCGTGCGAACAACGTGTGCAGGTTTGTGCGGCGTGTGTGTTGATTGGGGGAAGCACTGGAGTAAAAGGGTGCCAGCAGCGTGCCACAAACAGGGTGAAGGTGATGCGCCCGCTCACAGGTCAGCCAGCTAGGCGAGAGGGGGAAGCAAACACAGCGAGCGAAAACAGCACAGCGCGGTGCCGCGGTGTTTGTGTCCGCCTGCAGTGAGTTCGTCAGTGGTTGTGCGCAGCCGTGGCGGCGCGGCCGCGCTCACCGTCGCTGCCGAACACAAAGTCCAGCAGGTTGCGGTACTTTGACCGGAAGCAGTCCCTGAAGCGCCCGTTGCCGTCGGAGTAGCAGTGCATGATGGCGCCGCAGCCGGCGGCGAAGAGCGCGACGTCCATGCGCGCGGGGAAGGCGCGGGGGCGCAGCCAGCCCCACTCCACGACGCAGCGCGCGAAGGACTCTATGGACCTTTACAGGGTGGAGTTTGGGGGGCGCCGCCGTCCCGGTCAGCATCGGTTGCGCCTTGCCTACTGATTGCAAGCAAACTGCTCCAGGGTGGTGTGGACGCTTGTTTGTTGCAATTGTTTTGCTATCTTGTGGCGTCGGTGGCCAGCTAGGAATGCTGTGAGGACTGTTCGCCAGGCTTTCGTTGTCCACTAAGCGAGTGGACCACCCGCCAGCTGCGGCCGCGGAGGCCAGGCCGTAGCCGCCGCCCCCACCTGGAGAAGACGTACAGCGCCAGCTCCATGCGGCGGCTCTTCTTCTCCACCAGCAGCGCCAGGCCTCCCACCCTGCGCGGGCAGGGGCGCGGCCGCGGCGAAGAGCGGGCACAGAGGAGAGGGGCGTCGCTTGCGCAGGCGGAAGCGGGAAAACAGCAGGACCGCACAGGTACAAAAGCCACCCGCTATTGCAGCGTCGGAGGAAAATCTATTGTGGCCCGCAAAACACTACTCCAGCGCCAGCAAATCCCGGTTGCAGCGCCCGCGTCTTCCAGATCACGCACCATGTGCTGAGCGCGAGGACGCTGGGCCCCGTGTAGCCCAGGATGCGGTGGCCCGCGCATGCACCACCAAACGCCGCGCAGATGCACAGCGAGAGGAACAGGCTCGACCTGGGCCGAGAGAGGCAGGGGCACAGGCGGGCGCCGTGTTGGCGTGACGCTCGGACGAGATGCCTTGGGCTGCATGCGCCGCTGTACCCGAGGAAAACCACAGTAGCACCAGTTGACCCCTTTTATGCCATGAAGCGTCCCCTATAACACCCCATCACATGTAACCAACGCCGTGGCCCCCATGAGCCCGCACCTCGCCACGCCGTACGCGGCCTTGTTGAGGATGGGCCTCGGCTGCTTGAGCAGCTGCTGCCGGTGCACCAGCAGCATGGGCAACACGTACACAGGCAGGTACACGCGCAGCGCGCGCTCGTAGTTCAGGGGCAGGATCGACACCGCGTGCTGCGCGCAGGTCTGGCCTGGGTGGAAGAAGCGGCAGGGCACGCTGCCGTCGCAGTGCTCGTAGGGCGTGCCGGCGAGCGCCTTGAGGGGCGAGAGCGGCAGGCCGCGCGCAGTGCGGGCCG